GTGTGCCATGTGGGGGGAGAGGTTGGATCATGCCAACTCCTTTGAGAAGGTGATCTACGGCGACAATGCCGCAGCCATTGGCCTTGCCCATGGAAACAGCAACTCTTCCTGGAGGACGAGGCATCTTCGTGTCAGGTCCAACATCCTCCGCGAGGCCTTAGAAGAGAACACAAGCTACCCCGGTGGGCCGTGGCAACTCCACCACTTGAAGGGGACAGAACTGACTGACGGAATGACCAAACCGTTGGCAGGTCAGAGTTTCTTTGGGTTCACCTCTGACCTTGGGCTGAAAGGAGGTGATGATCAAGAAGCTCGAATGAAGAGCATGTCGACCGCCGTTGGTCAGGGAGTTCCTCCACTACAAGATCGCTCCTTGGCTTTGAAAGCGTTGGTGGTGGGTGGAGCGATGGTGCAAGCTGCGGAGGTCCAGGGTGAGAAAGATCCAGACTCCACCTTGGGAACACTGTGGATGTGCGGCCTCATGCTGATCGTGATCGGGGCAATCTGGGCGGGAAAAACAGCCGTCGCTTCGGTTGGCTGTTGTGTGAGAAGATTGCATGCAATGGTCAGCGAGCCGCACTCTCCACGAGAATGTCAAAAGGAGGATGAGGGAGACAGTGAAACCACCTCCACTGAAGGTGAAAATGAGGAGCCACAGGTCTTCAGATGGCAAGATGATGGCCTCCATAAACGCCGGAACGCCAGGCGAGGAAGGGAGAGCACTACTACCTCGAAGAGCTCTACTTCCCGGCCAAAAGAGAGACAGTCGGGCTCGCAGCATCGCGCTTCCTCTCAGCCTATAAGGCCACGATCGGGCCCGATGGATGGCATGGTGGCCAAGGCGGCTAGTGAAGCCGCCGAAGGAGCTCAGATGGCAGCTGAAGCGGCTGACCGTGCAGCGGAAAGCGCCGAATGAGCGTCCAGAGCGCTGATGAAGGCGATAGCGACGTCGGACTCCATCGTCCGCAAGCAGCAAGCGGCATCCACAGCCGCATCAAGCACAGAAGAGCCGCTGAAGAAGCAGCGACCGGGTTCGCCAATTCAGAACCCTTGGAATCGTTTCCAGCATGAGCACTCAGGCCGTGGCTGGAGCGTCCAAAAGATGCGAGCTGAATACTTTAAGGTCAAAGCACGAAAACAAATGCCTTGAGCCTGCTTTTGACCTGGTTTGAGCCCCTAGTTCGCCGACAAACTGGCGAAGGGGGAGTCTATCGAGTCGGTGAGAGCACCGTACAGACAAGCACCTATGACCTCTTAACTGAGGCATTTTGTTCAAGTGAAAAAGGCGGTTCGCGCTTTGTCGATGAGCCCAGAAAGCTTCCAAACCTGAATGCTAGCAACATAAACCTGATTGCCACCAATAGCAATTTAATGCTTATGGCACTGGCAATGTTGATGGCAATGCTAATGCTGATGCCAATAGCGGTGGCAATGCTAATGGTAATGGTACTGGCTTTTCACCTTGTGACGTGTGGCAATACTAATGGCAATGGTTATGCTCATGACAATGGTTGTGGAATGCCATTCACCCTTTGACCTGTGGGAGCTATGCACCTATATGTGCATTGTGACCTGTGGCAGCTTGATTCCATTTACCCTTGAGTTGTGGTACTGGGAATCCAAATGGAATTGCCAATTGTAATGGTACTGCTAATGGATGCTAATGATGGTTGTTTACCCTTGACACGTGGTGATGCTAATGGCAATAGAAATGCTTATGGCAATCGCGATGGGATGCCATTCACCCTGTGAGCTGTGGGAACTTGATGCCATTCACCATACTAATGGAAACGGTAATGCCCTGTGGGAGCTTGATGCTAATGCTAATGCTTATGGCGCTGGGAATGCTGATGACAATACTGATGCTGATGCTCATAGCAATGGAAATGCTCATGGCAATGCAACTAGTACTGCTAATGGCCATTCACCCTTGACCTGTGGCAATGCTGTGTGGGACCTTGATGCCATTCACCATAATGCCATTTTCCCTGTGACCTGTGGGAGCTTGATGCTGATGCTGATAGCAATGGTAGTGCTCATGGTACTGGTAATGGTCATTCACCCTTAACCCGTGGCAATGGTATGTGGGACGTTGATGCCTTTCACCGTAACGCAATTTTCACCCTCGACCTGTGGCAATAGGGATCACAATGGCAATGCCAATTCCTGCGGCAATGGTAGTGCAAATGGTGATGGCAATGCAAATGGAACGGTGCTGATAATGCCATTCACCCGGTGAGCTGTGGGACCTTGATGCCAATCACCCTGTGACCTGTAGCAATGACAATGCTAATGACAATTGTGATGGTAATACAATTCACCCTTTGACCTGTGCGGGTGAGCTGTGGGAGCTTCATGCCATCCACCCTGTGACCTGTCCTAAAACAAACGTTTTCGAGAACACTGGAGAATACGCACACACACGCCCGCATAACGCCCTTTTCTTTCAATTGACTGATAGAGTATCATCTCCAAACATGAACTTGTCTAAAAGGTAGGTTTTTGGGGGGGGGTGTGCCATATATATATATATATGCTACCCCCCCCAAGACCAACCGTTTCAGAAAAATTTCTTGCTTGTATGCGAGAGTTGTCCTTGATGATAAAGCAGATGTATTGAAAGCAGGTTTGTTTTTGACCAAAACCAATACTTTCAAAAAGGGAGGTGGGGGTACCAACGAATCTGAATCTGCAATGTGACATGTGCGCGTGGCATCTGATCAAAATGCTAAATGGACATCCTCCTACATCTGATCACATATATAACTTAACATAAACTATACAGTGCTGGAGATTTGCAATTTGCAACGGATGCCTTGCAGCAGCAGGGCTTCTACCAATTGGGGTGCATTCTGTTGCTGCTTGCTCAATGATATTTCACAGGGTCAAGCCCAACTGCATGCCAGCGCTAGGCTGCAGCCGCCCAGCTTGCTGCTCTCGCATTGCCTGCAGTCATTTTGAGCCCGCGTCCACGAAACTGCTACAAGCTAATGGTAGAACTTATGGCGGGCAGCTTTCTGTCGCCTTGCGCTGTTCCATGTCAAAGAATTGGGCGCGCGCCTCCACCAGCGAAGCTCGGTCCCTTCTGCTTTGGACATCCTTGCAGCCTTGAATTTTTTCGCAACTCCCGATTGCAAAAATTGCGAAAAACGGTCCTCGCAACCGGCGCAAATATCGAGGCCGAAATCCGGGCGCCATTTCTCTTCCACTGTCAAAATGCAGCCAACATTTTGAGCCTTTCTGGCGGCCTCGCTTTCTGATCCTCTTTTGTGAAATTTTCGCCGCCTGTCCGCCCATCCTTCCGGTGTTGAGCAACCTATGCATGGGCCACGCATGCATGTTGGCGGCGATGCTTCCAGGCATGTCTGCCACGCTACTGCGTGATCTATCTTTGCCGTTGCCCTTTGTTGCTGTCGCGTACTCCCTACGCGTGTGTTTCTGTTGCAAACTTGCCTGCGCGCAGTGGCGCATCCAAGTTTGCAAGCGCGATTTTGCCCGAGAGCGCCTGCGAAGGGTTCTTCGTAAAAAAACATCTGCAGAACTACGTCTCATCTACATCTTCACATCTTCACCTCTGCACATCCACATTCTCACCTATATCTCTGCTCATCTTCACATCTACATTCACAACTGCACATCTACATCTCTGCACATCTTCACATCCTCACATCGACATCTCTGCTCATCTTCATCTTCACACATCTACATCTCTGCTCATGTTCACATCTGCGCATCTACATCTCTGCTCATCTTCGCATCCTCGCATCTACATCTCACATCTTTACCTCTCATCTACATCTCACATCTTCACCTCTCGCTCTTCTTAACTTTCTCTCTTAAGGCCGGGGGCAGTGCCGCCGGACCGCCACGAAACGCAACCCTCTGCGGAGATCGGGCGTGTCGAGGGCGCGAAATGCAGGCGAGAGTGCGATTTGACCCGGTCCGGCGCAACCCTCTGCGGAGATCGCGCGTGTCGAGCGCGCGAAATTCAGGCGAGAGTGCGATTTGACCCGGTCCGGCGCAACCCTCTGCGGAGATCGTGCGTGTCGAGTGCGCGAAATGCAGGCGAGAGTGCGATTTGACCCGGTCCGGCGCAACCCTCTGCGGAGATCGTGCGTGTCGAGGGCGCGAAATGCAAGCGAGAGTGCGATTTGGTTTTGTCCGGCGCAACCCTCTGCGGAGATCGCGCGCGTCGAGGGCGCGAAATGCAGGCGAGAGTGCGATTTGGTTTTGTCCGCCGCAACCCTCTGCAGAGATCGTGCGTCTCGACACCGCGAAATGCAGGCGAGAGTGCGATTTGGTTCTGTCCGGCGCAACCCTCTGCGGAGATCGGATGAGTTCCATGCGCGCGCGTATCTGGGGAGCTGGGAGATGAGAACTTTAGTACGCGGAGTAGCTGGGGAGCTGGAAGATGAGAATTGGCGACTTTGTAGTAACGAGTGTCCCAGCCCCGCAAGAGCTTCCCACAAGAGTGACCGAAAAGAGTGTCCCAGAGAGAGTGTCCCACGAGAGTATCTTGACATGCTCACTTCTGCATATGTACCTCTCCACCTCCACACATCTGCACATCTATATCACTCTCTCTCTCTCTCTCTCTTCCTACACATCTTCTCACCTGCGCATCCACTGTCACTCCTTCACATCCGCTCTCTCCTTCTCTCTTTCTACACATCTTTTCTATTAATATTTTAATTTGCATCCAGAGTCTGGGACAAGTCGATGTGAACTATCGGCTTACTCGGAATTGCTGGCAAATCACCTGTCTCGCACGTTCGAGGGGTTCGTTCACGGTGTTCCGTGGAGCAATTGAAGAGTTTGAGCCTGGAGCTGCGTCGAGCGATGACGTCGCCGTTGTGTTTGGAGCCTTACTTGAAGTCAGTGCTGCAAGGGAAAACATTTCCATAAAGCCGCAAAGAATTTGGAGCATATGTGTTTGATTTTGTTTTTGTCACAATATCTTTTTAGCGCAAAGAATGCCTGTTGGCGTCGTCGGAGGATGGATGGAGGATGACCTCCGTGGTTGGAGTGTCTGGAGCTTGGATGTTTGCGTGGAGGTAGTGAAGGCTTTGCAAGTTTGAATGGGTACAGGTTGCTAGTAGAACATGCTTGCGGAACCAGCTTTTTGGTTCGAGTGCGACGATACTGGAGGCCGGTCTACCGTAGGGACAGATGACGTAGGTTCTTTGCGGGACATATCATGTATATGTACAATGTACCAGTGTTACATCGTTTTTTCGTTTCTGCTGCGAATGCTTGTTTCTGGTTGGACTCCCGGAGTCCCTTCGCATCGTTTGTGTCTTGGTTCGACTTGGTCCTCACAGGCGCAAGACGACTTCATCGAAGTGCTGTTGAACAGCGCCTGGGTCACGGGCATTCTGGGAGATCCAGTGTATGTTTCCGTGCACGACCTGTGGCGCAAAGATTGACCCGGACACTGGACACTGCAAGCGCCAGGCACAGCAGGGCTGCCAAACCATTCGTGAAAAGCGCCGCGTGAGAGCTGGTCGTATCTTTTTTGAAACACTGCTGTTGGCGATGTTGTAGAGACTGTTCGTGCATCCCCTCAGCATGATTTTGTCTTTGAATCGTAAATCTGTAGAATGACATTTATGTTGGTGATGTTATAGAGACAGTTGGTGCATCCCCTCAGCGCAATTTCTTCTTTGATTCCTAGATCTTAATACCCGAGCGACCCGACCGCATGAAGTTGCTGCTCGTCCTGTTCGCTGCGATAGGGACTGTCGGCGTAGTAGGAGTGCAAAAACAGAGCGCCTGCTTGCTTGTGACTTGTTTCGTAAGGAGTTAATGTCATGACGACGAGGATGCGAATATCCTACATACTCGTGTTTCCAACTGACTTCGATTTCGTCTCTTGAGGTGGTTCTATATATTGCGTCGCAGGGAGTGGTTGGATGCTGAGTTCACGTTTGGTGTGGCTGGACAAACTGTGTCAACGAGATCTTGCCACCTTGTTTTGGATAGGTACAAGTATTCGTGCGTGGGAGTTTCGTTCCATCCTGCTTTAAGTCTTGTTTGCTTGATATCATCGGGCGCCATGAGAATGGACGGATTTCATACCATGCCTCCCCGGGGCTCAAGAACTGGGTAGCCGCGACTCCGTGAACTTCACTGCCATTGTTGATCCATTTTGTTGTTTTCAACCATTGGTCACGTACAGACTTGTAACTCTGATCAGTGATGTAGTAGGTGCTACGGGTCTTTCACAGGGATCAGACGTTCGCCTATGGTAGTCATGGCTCTGGCTACTGGCGCTCTCGAGTGGAACGCAGCGAGAGCAGGATATCAGAGACGCTTATGCTGATAAGAGCCGGTGGACTGCTTTGGATTATGTCACAGACCAACACGACTACAGCTTTAAGTCCATAGAAGCGTGGCCTTTGGATGCTGCTGTCATTTACAGCCCTACGGACCGAGCAGCGCTGTTGCTTGGAAGTTTGAAAGCTGCGTGTAGCTTGGAAGACATTGTGGAGACCACGTCTTTGAAGGTCACTGTGGTGGTCACCATGTGCGCGCAGGAGATGAAGATCGCAGGCGCGCCGACAGACTGGACGAAATACTTTCAACAACAAGATGTCTTTCACATCCAGTGTCACTTGGAGGACACGACATTGAAGCCGGCAAGGCGTTGGCTTGACGAGCAGATTCCGGACTTGGTGGCTTCCTGTTTGCGACAGTGGAAAATTGTCTGTAGCCAGTTGTGGGAACAGTCCATGCTGGCGGTCGCCGGGAACAAATCCATGCGCGTGCTCTTTCACTGCTTTGGCGGCATCAATCGGAGCGCGGGGATTTTGCGCGCTTGGCTCGTTGTCGCTTACGAGCGTTCCGCGCTGGAAGCCGTGCAGTTGCTGCTTCAAAAAAGACCAGCGTTGGCGCAATCGACCCTATGTCTTGGAAGCGTTGTGGCGCCTGGAAGGTTTGCGCGCGGAATGGCAGAGAGACTTCAGCGCAACGCAGAGGCTAATTCATGCCGCGGGTCGTCCATCGAGACTGTTCGGGACGAAACTACGATGTCATCGCTCAAACGACGGGATCCGCGGCTGCCACAAAAAGGGACGTGACGTTAATATGTGTCTACTTCACCTGCGTGTCAAACGATGTGCAGTTGGAACGCGCGAGTCACTTGTCATGATCGTAACGTCGTTTGCTCTCAGGTCGCAGAGTTGGTGGCAACTTCAGTGTGAAATGTACGTTCTTCAGTTGTATGTTGTACTTGCGCAGCTAAGGTTGACGTTGCGCTGCCGTTGCGCCGACGCATCTCCGTCTACGTCCCCTCACCTCTCTACAATTACATCTTCACACGCTCGCATCCCCAGATCTACCTCTCCACCTCACCACACCCACACATCTGCACATCTATATCACATCTGTACATCCACACTGTCGCTCCTGGACTTCTGTCCTGTCTTTCTTTCTTTCTTTCTTTCTACATATCCTTCTCTCGCCTTTGTACATTTACATCTTCGCACGCTCACATCAATGAATCTGCCTCCCACCTCCATACATCTACAGATCTATATCGCACCTGCGCATCCACACCGTCACTCCTTCACGTCCACTCTCTCTTTCTCTCTTTCTATACATCGCGTGTCACACTTACACTCTATCTTCGACAGTGCTGGACAATCACATGTCTCGCTCTCGGGCCACCCGTCGTCTAGTTATTGACAAGACTTCTATCCAATAAACCCAAATCAGTCATCGTTGGAGGTGTGCAGTGGACGCCGCGCAGCCTGTTTACTGGCAGGGCAAGAACACTAAGTGTAGCGGTCGCGACATCACTAGCCTGCACGCTTGCTTGCTGACACAAACACACACACAGCGCTGGAGATTTGCAATTTGCAACGGATGCCTTGCAGCAGCAGGGCTTCTACCAATTGGGGTGCAGTCTGTTGCTGCTTGCTCAATGATTTCACAGGCTCAAGCCCAACTCTCTCGCAAGTGTTCCTGAGGATGACCCCATTGCCTGCAGTCATTTTGAGCGCGCGTCCACAAAACTGCTGCAAGCTGATGGCAGAACTTATGGCGGGCAGCTTTCTGTCACCTTGCGCTGTTCCATGTCAAAAAATTGGGCGCGCACCGCCACCAGTGAAGCTCGGTCCCTTCTGCTTTGGACATCCTTGCAGCCTTGAATTTGTCCCCAACTCCCGAATGCAAAAATTGCGAAAAACGGTCCTCGCAACCGGCGCAAATATCGAGGCCGAAATCCGGGCGCCATTTCTCTTCCACTGTCATAATGCAGCAACATTTTGAGCCTTTCTGGCGGCCTCGCTTTCTGAGCCTCTTTTGTGAAATTTTCGCCGCCTGTCCGCCCATCCTTCCGGTGTTGAGCAACCTATGCATGGGCCACGCATGTATGTTGGTGGCGATGCTTCCGGGCATGTCTGCCACGCTACTGCGTGATCTATCTTTGCCGTTGCCCTTTGTTGCTGTCGCGTAGTCAAACAGCTTCCTACGCGCGTGTTTCTGTTGCAAACTTGCCTGGGCGCAATAGCGCATCCAAGTTTGCAAGCGCGATTTTTTTGACAAGACTTCTATCCAATAAACCCAAATCAGTCATCATTGGAGGTGTGCAGTGGACGCTGCGCAGCCTGTTTACTGGCAGGGCAAGAACACTAAGTGTAGCGGTCGCGACATCATTAGCCTGCACGCTTGCTTGCTGACACAAAGGCACACACAATCATGGCCCACCAGTTGGAAGCTGATCTGCAAGCCGAATTGCGGTCTCATTTTTTCACAAATTGCCAAAATACGTTGCAAAAACCCATTCAAAGGAGGCGTTCTTTTGAGAATTGGCAGGACCTGCTTTGGTGGCCCTGTTGTCTTGCGACCCCTCCCTTGGATGGCCGCAAGCAACGTTTTTTTCCCTTTGCGGGACTGCAGGAACCACAGGTTGAGTGAAGAACAAAAAGTGCGCCAAATCTTGCGCAGCCGCAAAATAAGACATTTGAGGTCACCAAATGTTGCGCCTGCCACGAAAAATGAAAGCAAAGGTTTATCAAATGCTGCGCGCGCCATGAAAAGTGCAAAACAAGGTGAGCCCGCGGACCCAAAAGCAAAAAGAAGCGCACAACCCAGGAAAAATAAACAAACACAAATTAGCAGGCCAAAACGAAGCATCAGCCCCCTCCAGGCTTCGTGGCAACTATGATATTTCAAGCATCGCGGTTCTGGTGGAACACAGCTCCACTCACCTCCCAACGGGCTTCCGCGAAGCATGGAGCAGCACTACCCCCACCCATGCTTCGTTCTACTTGTGCACTGACCCGGAGCAG